CGGCCCCTACACCCGGTGGGCGGTCCCTATCCCCGGTGGGCGGTCCCTACACCCGGTGGGAAGTCCCTGTCCCCAGTGGGTGGTCCCTATATCTGGTGGACGGTTCCCACATCCAGTAGGCAGTTCCTGTCCCCGGTGGGAGGTCCCGATCCCCGGTGGGCGGTCCCTACACCCAGCGGGCGGTCCCTACACCCGGTGGGCGGTCCCTATCCCTGGTGGGCGGTCCCTACACCCGGTGGGCGGTCCCTATCCCCGGTGGGCGGTCCCTATCCCCGGAGGGCGGTCCCTACACCCGGAGGGCGGTCCCTACACACAGTTGGTCTTCCCTCCACGCGGTGGGCGGTCCGTGTCCCCGGTTGCTCTTGGGGAGTTGGGTGCTCGATCCGGTTCTGAGCTGTGGTCCCGGTGCCTTTTCCTCCCGATGGCCTTCGTGCAGAAGCAGCAGCAGCGTCGCTGTAAAGAGAGGTGAGGAGCCGCGGCTCAGCGCAATGATCGCTGCAGATTCACTCGAGCCCCGGGCTTTGCTGACAGAACCAGGCCCGAGTCCTGGGCCAAACTAAATCCCGCGGGAGCCCGGGGACTGGGGACTTCGGGGGGAGCAATCCAGAGACTGGGATCGGGTCTGGGCTTTGAGGGTTGGGATTGGGTGTTGGATTGGGGATTGGAGTCTGGGGTTAGGGGTTGTGCTGAAGTGGGGCTGCCTGCAGTTCAGATCAGGGTGGGGTGGGGGGATTGCGGTGTAGAGTTTGGGGTTGGTTGGGGGATTAAGGTCAGGGCTTAGGGGTTCTACTGAGCTAGGACCCAGTATTTGGAGGATGGTTTGTGTTATGATATAGTATAGACAGACGAAATCATCTACCAATGATTCTACACAAATACACAAAGGTAGTTTCCTTAGTTCACTCAATGCTGCAAAAGAAAAAGAACAAGAAAGGATGCATAAATCAAACTGATCGCAATAACAGAGACTTGCAACAATACAATTGCAGGTTGAGCTCTCTGTGCTCAAGAGCTTCCTGGTGTGAGACTTGGGGCAGCCTCGATGTCTTTGTTTAAGTCTCCTGCCAACTTCCTTGTCCAGGCCTTGTAGTTTTACATAACTTTATAGTTTTTTTGCCCAGTGTTGTTTAATTGATGTTGTAATTTAAAAACAAAAATCTTTGATTAATCACTTGACAAAATGACACTCTACTATCTACCATTCCCAGCCCTATAACCTGTAACCATCTGGTGATTGGGACAGGAAATCCTCCTCTGGTTATTTTATTAAAATATTTTTCCTGATCTTTGTTCAGTGCTTCAAATACATTTATTTGAACAAAATCAACTCACAATAGTTTGAAACATAGACTATCCTTATCATAAAATGTATTTATTTATGAGTGCAGAGAATGAGAGTCATGGATCATAATGTTTATCTAGTGAATAACTCGAGCCATAGATGCCAGGTTTAATAATCCCTCTTAGCCAGATTGAATGTAGGGCTTTTGTTTTCTTTCAGTGTTTCAGGAACTTTAATAACTTCATGCTCTTTATCACTATGGAGAAAATTCTGTTTGAAATGCAGGTAAATAATTTGCTGACAGCTATTGTTGAAGCTCAGAGGTGAGTGATGGTATGGACAAATATCTCTGTGATTCAGTGCTTATATACAACTGAATCCTGTTAGAGGATACAATTTTTTAGAAAACATGCAAGCTACAATGTCATAATAGTCATCTTACTGATGTCCAACCAAAAGTTACTTGTGGTGACATGGTGGCTCAGTGGTTAACACTACAGCCTCACGGTGCCAGAGACCTAGGTTCAATTCCAGCCTTGGGCTGTGTAGTTTTTGCATGTTCTGCCTGTGTCTGTGTGGGTTTCCTCCCACTGTCCAAAGATGTGCAAGTTAGGTGGATTGGCCATGATAACTGTGGGGATAGGTTGGCGGTCTGGGTGGGATGCTCTTTGGAGGATTGGTGCGGACTTGCTTGATGGGCTAAATGGCCTCTTCCACACTGTAGTGATTCGATGATTATCTGTAGTCAAAAATCAGATGACTGAATTGCAGCTTTGCTTTATTGCTTTATATTTGAATAAAATGTGTAGCTCCTGGACTTAATGCTTCTTGGAACTGTATCTGTCCTAATCTTTGCCAATGCAAATGTAACTTTAATTTCCTCTGTTGGCATTTTCACAGCCACTATGTTACTACCTATATTTTCAATTATTCTTTCAGTCCTCTTACTACCTCCTCTTTTCACTTGTCAGCTTTTGTTTGATTAGGTACAGTTTCTTCTTACTACATGCCTATCCCTACTGTGCTTAGAAATGTAAGTTGGTATCATGGGATAAGGTCAAAAGTCACACAAAACCAGGTTATAGTTCAACAGGTTTATTTGAAAGCACAAGCTTTTGGAGTCTCACTCCTTCTTCAGGTGTTAGTGAGAGAGGTGGCATCAGACACAGAATTTATTAATAAAAGGTCAAAAGGTAATAGAGCTGATACAAACGTATTGAACAAACCCAAGATGGCTGTTAAATCTTTAGTCAATTAGAAAGAAGATGCAGGTTTTGATTGATTTAATTTGCAAATCCCAGAATTTCTTTCAAGTTTCTGCCTTGAGATAACTAAAGGTTTTATCAGTATATCGGAGGTAGTGACTTGAAAGAAATCCTGGGATTTGCATATTAATCATTCGAAACCCGCATCTTCTTTCTAACTGATTAAAGATTTAATAGCCATCTTAGTATTGCTCAATACATTTGCATCTGTTCTTATGACCCTTTGGTCTTTTGCTTGTAAATTCTGTGTCTTATGCCACCTCTCTCACTAATATCTGAACAAGGAGCAAGACTCTGAAAGCTTGTGTTTTCAGATAAACCTGTTGGACCATAGCCTGGTGTCGTGTGATTTCTGACCACGTTCACCACAGCCCAACACCAGCACCTCCACTTTGTGAGTACTGTCGATACCACAAACTGCTGGCTCAAAGTGGAGAGGATCTCCAAGAAGATCACGCATATCAACACAGACATCAAGTTTCTACAGAAATGTAAAAAAGCAGAAAAAAACCCAAAAGAACTGCAGATCACGAACCCACTCAAGTCGACCTACAACACAGATTACGCTGAGAGACTTTGCCGTTGCACCTCTCACAAGCTCCTCAATCATCTTGTACACCAACTCTACAACAGGTGCCATAACCATGAAATCGAGATGGAGTCCATATTCTCAGCATGTGCTCAAGACACAGCAGTACAGTTACGAGACACTGCCAAACAGACGAGGCAACAGAACTACACTGCCTATGTGCACACCAAGAATAAGAAACTGGAGAAACTTGGCATCACCACCAGCAGTGACCAAGCCTCCCTTGGTACCACAGTTGAAAACGGTACCACCATAGGGAAATCCATTGCCAACATATCTGACCACACCCTTCAACGAGATCAAAGTTCTCAGCCGAGAGCTCAATTACTGCCCCACCACCAAAATGGGCCCCATTGGTCTCGTGGCAGATACAGAGGAATTCATCAGATGAATGAGACACCAGGAATTCTTCCAAGATGTCAGCAGCGAACCCAATGACACAACCAATGAACTGGATCAGTCGACGGAGAGTTGCCAAAGAAGGAGTCGAATTGGACCCCTCTGGAGGGCCATTGCCCTGGGCTTAATTCGTATGCTTAGTCAGGGAATGCATGAACGCCAGATTCATCAGTCCCACTCATAAGGTAGTGCAAAACATCACCCAAGCACAATGCAACGCCATGTTCTCAAGACCAATCGCAACTTTGTCATCAACCCAGTAGACAGGAGGAGCCATCATAATACAGAAAAGAACGGACTACATTAAGAAAGTATACAGACAACTGAACAACCAGAAACCCCACAGACAACTACCTGTCAACTTGACCAAAGAACACACCCGTGAACTCAACAGACTGATCAAGACTTTTGATCCAGTCCTTCAGAGTACCCTACGCACTCTCATTGCACGTACTTCTCGCGTAGGAGACTTCTGCTGCCTTCCAAACATACACAAAACCAACACTCCTGGACGTCCCTAGGTATCGGGCAATGGGACCCTGTGTGAGAATCTCTCTGGCTATGTTGAGGGCATCTTGAAACCCATTGTACAGGGAACCCCCAGCTTCTGTCACGACACTACGGATTTCTTACAGAATCTGAGCACCCACGGACCAGTCGAACCAGGAACATTCCTTGTCATAATGGACGTTTCGGCATTCTACACCAGTATTTCCAACGGCAACGGCATCGCTGCAACAGCCTCAGTACTCAATACCAACAACTGTCAATTTCCGGACGCCATCCTACAACTCATCCGCTTCATCCTCAACCACAATGGCTTCACCTTCGACAACCAGTTCTTCATTCAGACACACAGAACAGCCATGGGAACCAGATTTGCTCCCCAAATGCCAACATTTTCACGCACAAGTTCAAACAAGACTTCTTTGCTGCACCTAACCTCTGACCAACGCTATACACCAGATACATTGATGACATTTTCTTACTTTGGACTCAAGGCAAGGAATCACTGAAACAACTACGTAGCGATAGCAACAAGATTCATTCCACCATCAGACTTGCCATGGACCACTGTTTAGAATCAGTCTCATTCTTGGACACACATATCTCCATCAAGTCGAACACCTCAGTACTTCACTCTACCACAAGCCACGGATAACCTCACGATGCTGCACTTCTCTAGCTCCCACCTTAAACATATTAAAACAGCTATTTTTTATGGACGAGCCCTGTGCTGTTCAGATGAGAAGAATTGCAGCAGACACCTGAAGATGTTGAAGGACGCCCTCATAAGAATGGGATGCGATACTCAACTCATCAATCGCCAGTTCCAATGTGCCATAGTGAAATGCCATAATGGCCTCCTCAGAAAACAGACATGGGATATGACCAATGGGGTACCCTTCGTCGTCCAGTGCTTCCCAGATGTGGAGAAACTACGCCATGTTCTTTGCAGCCTTCGACACATTATCGATGACAATGAGCACCCCGCCAAGATCTTCCCTTCGCCTCCACTTCTCACCTTCAAACAACAGCCAAACCTTAAACATACTGTGTTGCTCGCAGCAAACTACCCAGCCTTCAGGACAACATCGACCACAATACCATACAACCCTGTCATTGGCAGCCTTTGCAAGACATGTCAGATAATCGATATGGACACTACCATCACAAGTGGGAACACCAAACACCACGTGCACGGCAGATTCACATGTGACTCAGCCAACGTTGTCTATCTCATACGCTGCAGGCCAGGATGCCCCAAGGCATGGTACATTGGTGAGACCATGCAGATGCTATGGCAACGGATGAATGGACACCGTGCAACAATCGCCAGACAGGAATGTTCCCTCCCAGTAGGGGAACACTTCAGTGTTCGGCCTTGGATCTTTGGGTAAACATCTTCTGAGGTGGATTTGGGGATACACAACAATGCAGAGTCGCTGAGCAGAGACTGATAGACAAGGTCGGTTACCGTGAGGGTGGCCTTAACTGGGAACTTGGGTTCATGTCACACACGCATGCTCACATACACACACTAATTTGCAGATACAGTCTGTTTTGTTCATACAGTCAATGTGGCATTTTATAAATTCCTACTTTGGAAATAAAGCCAGTCTGACTCCAAGTTAAAACACAAGATTCTAAACAAGGCCACACACCTAAAATGCATTTTCTGACCTGAGATGTCACCTCTGGGATACCGATAAAACCTTTAGTTATCTCGGGGCAGTGATTTGAAAGAAATTCTGAGATTTGCACATGAATCAATTGAAACCTGCATCTCCTTTCTGATTGATTGAAGATTTAACAGCCATCTTAGGTTTGTTCAATACATTCGCATCAGTTCCATGACCCTTTGACCTTATAAATTCTATCTGATGACACCTCTCTCACTAACACCTGCAAAAGGAGCGAGACTCCGAAAGCTTGTGTTTTCAAATAGACCTGTTGGACTTTAACCTTGTATCGTGTGATTTCTGACCTTGTCCATCCCAGTCTAACACTGGCACCTCCACATCATATTTTAATACTGTAACTATTTGTTGGTAGTTTACTTTTGTTTTCCAATCGGCTTCTACCAGTATCTGTATATGTTGCATATTTCATTTAAAATTTAATAAAAATAAGTGACCACAGTACTTCGAGTGTTCCATTTTAGCGTATTATAATTTAAACTTTTAATGTTTATTCCACTTTCTGTAAACTGTTATTCCAGATCAGAGGCTGAGTTAAACATATTGAACTCTTTGCGAAACCTGTGCATTGTGAAGAAGGGTCACTGGACTTGAAACATTACCTCTGCTTTGTCCCCACAGATGCTGCACAACCTGCTGAGTTTCACCAGTAACGTCTGTTTTTGAACCACAATAGTTGTTTTCTGACTCCTTAGTCCCATGGAACCAGGGACGATTTTCCTCGCCCCTGGAAGGAATTAAACAGTTGAATGCTGGATCCTCAGACCCTGCCACAAGTGAGAGAGGTGGTGTTGAGGATTTGGGAGGGTGGGATGCTTACATTTCCTTATGCTGCTTCTGTTTGTTTGCCTTCACCTGGGTTTGTTGGACCTGCTCGAAATGCTTAATTCCTTCACAGAAACTTCTTCTCGAATTTGGTTAGTCCTGGGCAAGGGAATCCCATGAGTTGGTGGGGATATTGCACTTTCTCCAGGAGGCTTTGAGGATCCCCTTGATATTTGCTTTCTATTAGGAAACACTTCTGCACAAAACGTGGCAGAAGTTTAGAACTTTGCTAGATCAATTGTTACTTTTAAATCTGACTTTTGGATTTTGGTTAACCGAAGGTATTCAGGAAAATGGGGCAAAGGCAGGTATACGATCTTGTTAAATGTCGAAATAGGTCTAAATTGCTCTACTCTTATTTTTATGTTTCTATAATTTGTCTTTTTAGCCTAGAGCTTTGGATGATCCAATGACCCACAGTGTCAACTGTTGTCAGCTAACTGAGTGCCTTAGTTTTGCCCTGCCCCAGGCAGTCTTGGCATTCTGATGATTACAGTTAAGCGGCTAGATTTTACTGATAACAACTTGTACAGAAACTATTTAAGAATCTTTATAGCTTACTGTAGGATCAGGGAGGCAGTAGTATGATGGTAATGTCACTTGACTATGAAACCAGCATCCCAGACTAATGTTCTGGTGACATGAGTTTGAATCCCATCATGGCAGACGCTGAAATTTTAATTCAATAAAAATCTGGAATTAAAAGCTAGTCTGCTGGCGCCCATGTAATGATTGTTGTAAATACCCATCTGAGTCGCTGATGTCCTTTAGGGAAGTCAATCTGCCATCCTTATCTGGTCTGACCTACATGTGATTCCAGATCCACAGCAATGTGCTTAACTCTTAACTGCCTCTAAAATGATACAGCAAATGACTCAATTCAAGGTCAGTACGGGATGGCCACATGTCCACATTTCAATAAACACATTTTAAAAGTCGTACTGTAGAATGAGCAAAAATTAGGACATTAAGTTTAGGGTTCACGGAAATCATGGGACATATGTCATATTCTTTCATTAGGTCCTTCTTAATGATCTGAATATTAACTTTTGAAGGCATCAAGCTATCAGTCATCTGCATTAAGCACGGCATTTTTTGTTAAATGTAGTTATAAGTTTGTGTTTAATGTATCTGATGTGATAAAACTTTGAAGTTTGTAGACAATACTTTGCAGGTATCATTAAAAAGAAATCCAAAAATCACATTAAAAGTACAAAAGTAGTGACTTTGGATTCAGCCAATATATTTAATGTAACTTTCTACATTTGGGGACTGGTTTAAGTGCAAGAAACGTACATGCTGAGGTCTTTTGTTTTGGAGCCAAATGATGAAAATTGTCTGATTTGGGTTTTGGGGGATGTAACAGGAGAGTGTGCAAATGATTGAGGAAATTTATATACATCAAAACTTCAGTCTAAAATTGGTTTAAGTTATTACATGTAAATTTCTGAGGGGAGGATGAGTGGGAGGAGAAACAGGTCATCTCCACTGTTGCCCTGTAATTGTGCTAAATTTTCAAGGATTCTTACAACAGTTTTACTATTTTTCTTTATTTTTCCGATGCAAATTGTATGTTATGCATGTACTTGGCTTATTAGTAGAATTTTTTGTTTTATTGTGTGTGCTTAATATTCTGTGTGTGTGTGAGTGAGACATTTGGTTTAATGCTGGGGAGTTAAGACTACATGTTTGATTTGAAAACTGCAGTCACCTACTGTGTAAGTAAATTGTGTACAAATCTAAGAACTGTACTTCACAACTGCTAAATAAGAAAATAAATGTATAGTGTAGGCATAACTTCCTTTTAGTGCCCCAGTTCATAATGATTTTTTCATATCAAACAGGTTTTCTCTGCTGATGCTTGACCTTGAAGAATATTATTTTGACCATCACACATTTTATCATGTTTTTACCAACAATAAAGGAGAAGAAAGGTACTGTATGGAATTTTGAAATATCAATTTAAATTGTTGTATTGTGTAAGGGATACCTGCCTCTGACTACTTGTGTCTCAACTTACTGGTTGCCTGGCAATTGGGAGGCTGTGAAGTATAGCTGTGATCTGTAAAGCAGCTAATCCCAGGCTAAGAAACAAAAACTAACATGCATTATGGAGAGTAATGCTCCCTGATATTTGTAACAAGTTGGAAAATTCCTTTAATTTTAAGCATAGGATCTGAGTTGAATTTCTAGACCTTGATCGAAGTGGTTAAAGGCCAAATACTTTAACCCATATTTTAAAAAAAGTTAAATTATGCACTTAAAAAGCAGGAAACATTGATGTCTTTCAGTGTCAGTTTGGGAGAAGACTCAGCACTGTCACTTTTCTGATTGACATCTAGTTGCTGGAAATGAATGCAGATGAATGTTAGTTGAGACCAATGCTGCTTCTATCGCTACTCAGCATAAGTGACCACATGGCGGAGGGCTACCAGTACAGATGGCGTGTCTTCAATCTTTTATAGATTTTTTTTGTAAAAGAAAAAGATAGCATTTTCAACATTGATATCAAATTGTTTTGGTCGTGTCTAATTGAACACAAAAAGTTGACATCCAGCAATATCCTTTCCTCTATCTAATATAGAAATTTCAGATGGCAAAGTACTGTGTGCCTCAGTCAATTTTCTTTATATAGTTTACAGTTTGTAGAAAACTGAACCTGGTCAGCTTTGGGTTTTATTAAAGGTAATGTAGCCATAGTCCCAGAAGTTCATAGGGCTGCTCTTTCATGAGAGAGACGACTAGTGGTGAGTTTAACCTGAGGGTTATCTCAAGTGAGGGGAGAGGTTGAGAAGACGGGACCTTCGTGATGACCTCATTAGGGTAGGAATTGAACCCATGCTGTTGACATCACTCTGCAGCAGAAACCAGCTGTCCAGCCAACTGAGCAATAACTATAGCAAACACATTCTTAGTGCTTCTGTATTCATGTTTTATAAGCCATTCCACAGTTCGCAACACTGCTGTTTGTATCTTTGATTTTGTTTCTTTCAATTACGTTCTCTTGTTTCATTAACTGTATATCCATGTTATATTAATGATTTCTAGTAGGGGTTGATTGTTTAATTTTGTTTTAATATGTATTGCATTATTTCCAACTGGCTAGTTTCTGTAGGTCAAAATAAAATGCATAGGTTTAAGCTCAGTAAGATTAATTATTTATCATGTATTTATGTGGACACCAGCATTTTAAATGTATCTGTTTGTTGCAGAACATTTAAAGGTTCCCTGAAGATATGTTCGAAATCCCTGATCTTTGAACCAGATCAAATATCAGAACCTGTATTAAAGGTACTGTCAGTAACAATTGCTTTCATGTTTGCAGTTTACATATGTTAATCCATTTCTATGTGCCTTTGTAGTACTTTTCAAATACTGTAGCTATACTACTGTCTTGCTCCTTGTTACTGGATATTTGGTGTATACTGGTAAGTTTAAATTTGCCTTGTTGTTATATTTGCCTTTCAATTCCTTTAGTTTGTAAATTGCATTTCCAGTATAGCGGTGCAACTTTCCAATATTACGTTTCTTCCCTATCTGCCATAAACCTCTGGTCCCAAATACAGAGGTTTGTCACTGATCATATTATCCTTTTTAATTATAAGTTGTTCAAATTTCCGATGAAGAACTGTGCACCTCCAAACAAATGTCCGCCATCATTGGTGCTTATTTTTTTGTATCTTTTACTGTTGATGAACTGAATCTGTTCATCTTTTGATTGTGTTTAAGATCAGTTTTCATGTTTTGTAAGAAAATCCATAAAATACTTGGACAATGCAGTTGTTTGTTTGCTTTTCCTTATCTGCTTTGATAAGTTTCTGTTGTTTTGTTTTTGTTTAATTGTTACATTTGAGGATCCTCAGACTTCTCTTTAAAATTTAATCATGACCAGAAAAATGCCAGGCACTTTGATCCCACTGCAGTCACGGCCTGCAGCCCTGTCTGCATGTTCGTATAATGTAGTCTGAAGCTCCATGATAGCATCCTTCATTCTCTACACTCCAATACCAACTCCCCATATAAAATGCAGAAGGAAACAGAGACACACAAATATAAGAGGATCACGAAGACAGGAATGAGGAGGTTTGAGAAAGAGAGTGATCAAAAGAAATAGGAACTGAAAAAGAGGAAACAGACCTGCAGAGAGAGCAGTAATACGCTAGCAGCAATCAGCTGAAGAGGAAAAAGTTCCTTCTGGTTATACAACAAGCTTTCCAAATGGTTAGGAAGGAATTTTGCTTAGTGCAGTTTGTATTCTTGAAATTCAGATAGTGTTGTATTGTGAAATTTTGCACATTTATACAACCTCGGAGTGCGGGTTCATACTTCCTCAAAAGTGGAGTCGCAGGTAGACAGGGTAGTGAAGAAGGCCTTTGGTACGCTTGCTTTTATTGGTCAGTGCATTGAGTATAGGATTTGGGACGTCCTGTTCTGGCTGTGCAGGACATTGAATAGGCCACTTTTGGAGTACTGCATTCATTTCTGATCTCCCTGCTGTAGGAAAGCTTTTGTTAAATTTGAAAGGGTTCAGAAAAGATTTACAAAACTGTTGCTGGGGTTGAAGGGTTTGAGCTAAAGGGAGAGGCTGAATAGGCTGGGGCTATTTTCCCTGGAGCATTGGAGGCTGAGAGGTGACCTAATAGAAGTTTATAAAATCATGAGGGGCATGGATAGGGTGAATAGCCAAGATCTTTTTCCCTAGGGTAGGGGAAATCAAAATTAGAGAGCATGGTTTTAAGGTGAGAAGGGAAAGATTTAAAAGGGACTTAAAGGTGCAACTTTTTAACGCACATGGTGGTGCATGTATGGAATGAACTGCAAGAGAAAGTGGTGGAGACTGGGACAATTACAACATTTAAAAGGCATCTGGATGGCTATGCGAATAAGAATGGTTTAGAAGGATATTGGCCAAATGCTGGCAAATGGGACTAGATTAATTTAGGATATTTGGTCGGCATGGACCAGTTGGACCGAAGGGTCTGTTTCTGTACTATACATCTCTATGACTCAATGACTTCATAACACACCATGGGACAATGGAGTATACCTATTCCAAGTGTATGCACAGAAAGAAGAAAAAGGTGACATATCTAAGGAAAGTGTTTGCCTTAAGGGCAATATCTTTGGTATTTGGTATTATGTACATTCCAAGTTACATCATGATTTCATTGTTTTCAGTCAGGATTGGCATTAGGTCAAACAGCTCAGTTGGCTGGATTGCTGTTTTGCAATGCAGGGGTGTGCCAACGGCCACTGGTTAATTCCCACATTGGCTGCGGTCACCATGAAGGTTTCGTCTGCTCAACCTCACCTGAGATATGGTGATCCTCAGGTTGCAGCAATGAAGGCCACTTTCTTTAGGAATCCTCAACTTGTGGTGTTAAGATCATTCACTGGGTTTTGACCTGAAACTTTGAGAACAACTTCTTAGAAAAGAGGAATGGGGCAAAGGACGTTGTTCTTCTGACTCTTTGGATTCAAACTCAAAATCCCCTTTTACCCACAAACTGTATCATCCACAGTGTTAAACCTTGGAATTTTCTGTCAGGCTGTCTGCAAATATTGGATGTCTTATCACTGATCCTGTGTGCTAAGCCTTGAATAAGCAAACATTAAATAGTGCTATGAATCTAGATTTTTCTTACCAGCTCATGAGGTTTTAATTCACTGTATAACTGTTCACTTACACTTAAAACACAACAAAAAAAACTGTGTATGCTGGAAATCTGAAACAAAAACAGAAATTGCAGGACCGACTCAGCAGATCTGGTAGCATCTGTGGAAAGAAAGCAGAGTTAACATTTCAGGTCCAGCGACCCTTCTTCAGAACACCAGCTTTCCTAGTTCTGAGGAAGGATCACTGGACCCAAAATGTTTAACTCTGATTTCTCTCCACAGATGCTGCCAGACCTGCAGAGATTTTCCAGCAATTTCTGTTCTTGCTTCACTTAACCTTAAAGTCGGGTGTAAAGTCGGTCTTCCTGGGAGTGAACCTAAGGAAATCAGTGGGCCCGAACGGTGTCCCCAGCCGAGCACTTGGACCCCGTGCAAACCAGCTGGCAGAGGTATTCACCGACATGGTCAACCTCTCCCTTCTACAAGCCAAAGCCCCCACCTCCTTCAAGAAGACCACCATCATCCCAGTACCAAAGAAATGCAGTGTGCCTTAATGACTACCACCCAGTGACTCTGACCTCCATAATCATGAAGTGTTTCGAGAGGCTGGTCATGGCCCACATCACCTCCAGTCTCCCGGCCTGCCTCGATTTCCTACAGTTTGCCTACTGACATAACAGGTTCACGGAGGATGCCATACCCCCAGCCCTGCACTCATCTCTGCAACATCTGGACAACAAGGACATCTACGTCAGACTCTTGCTCATCAACTACAGCTTGGACTTCACCATGATTATCCCCTGCGCACCAATCACAAAACTCCAAGACCATTCATCAGTCTAATAACGGCAGGGAAGAAGCTGTTTTTGAACCTGCTGGTGTGTGTGTTCAAGCTTCTGTACTTTCTGCCTGACGGAAGAGGCTGTAGGAGAGCATTACCCGGAAGCGATGAGTCTTTGTTGATGTTGGCAGCCTTTCCACAGCAGTGAGCCGTGTAAGTGGAGTCTATGGATAGAAGCTGAAAGAACTGCAGGTGCTGTAAATCAGGAATAAAAACAAAGTTGCTGGAAAAGCTCAGCAGGTCTGGCAGCATCAGTGAAGAAAAAGTCAGAGTTAACGTTTTGGGACTGGTGACCCTTCCTCAGAACTAATGGTAGCTGGACGGAGAGAGGAGCAGAACTTCTTCAAGGTGGGCATGCCTAGAAGAGATGTGGCAGTGAGTTAAATATTAAATAAAAACCAAAAGAACTCCAGACGCTGTAAATCAGGAACAAATGTTCTTGTTAACGTTGATCTTGCCTAGTGCTCGCCCTGTGCGATGTAACCTGTATACCTCTATCCTTGCTTACAATGATCTGCCTGTACTGCTTGTAAACAAAGCTTTTCACTGTACTTATGTACACATGACAATAAATCAAATGAATCAATCTTGTATGTGGTTTCTGATCTGTTGGAATTCCAGGTGAGTTGATGACATCTACGTTTCACATTAAAACCTCATGAGCTCTTTAACGACTCTGGGATGTGCAAATTTCAGTTTCAGAACCATTGCTTTATGATCAGTTCTCACGACAGCAATATAGGAGGATCTGTTCTACTAATATCCAATAAATTTTTATATGTATGATTTTGACCTAATTTGAAATCATCAATCTGTACACAATGTCTTTACATTTCTTCTACTGAAACTCAATTCACTGTGTTTGAACCCGAGCCCTTGTGTATAATTTGGAGATTAGAATTAGTACTGTACACTGATCTCCAAAAATTTGCAGTTCCCTTTCAGAGAATGCAGCAGAATTGAAGAGATAGAAGATAAAGACAATAATCCTTTTGAAGAGTGAGTTTAAAATGTGTATATTCAGGTTTTCAATTTTATTGAGTACATTACTCTGGTGAATTTATGTTTATCTCAATTAAATCACACTCTTTAGAAATCAAATTTGTGGATTCCGCATCACGTGCCGTCAGGTAAGAATCTTTCAGTTGTTATTGATTTTGTGTGTGTTGTTTTTTCATTTCTGTTCACTGTTTCTCATGCAAACTTGTTCTCCAAGTCTTGCATATCAGAATTGTCTGTCATGCTCTCACTTTCCCCCTCATTCAGTCTATCATTTACTCATTACCTCCTTCCTCTTCTTCTGATTTTTTATTAGTCAGTGCTTTCCCTGCTGTTTCTCATTTTCCCTTTCTTACTGTTTTCATTTTAACCTATCTCCTCCTTTGTCTAACCTAGAGCTGGGAAAGTCAGTAACACAAAACTGGCAGGCAAGCTAGAGGTTGCAGCATTGGGTGCTTAGTGGAAGGAGGTATTTGTGATGCTAGGAGGAAGTGGTCTGAGTGGCTGTTGCTGGATTTCCGTAGACTGTTAAAGCAAGGTTACTAGCAAATCTAACCCCAGTAGCTTTTCTGTAAGAAAACTCATGTGATACAAGGTCCTGTCCAACAGAGCAAAATGAAACATAAGTAAATAATTTGGAAGGATGAATCTCAGAAGATTCCCTGCATAAAGAAACATATTCAGTACCTGAACTGTACATTATTACAAAGAGTGCCTTTCACTGAAGTGAAAAAAAAAGATTTGGGCTGTGTGAATGCAATGGCTCAGAACATAGCATAAGAACTAGGAGCAGGAGTAGGCCATCTGGCCCCTCGAGCCTGCCCCACCATTTAATTAGATCATGGCTGATCTTTTTGAGACTCAGCTCCACTTACCCGTCCACTCACCATAACCTTTAATTCCTTTACTGTTCAAAAATTTGTCTAGCCTTGCCTTAAAAACATTCAGCGAGGTAGCTTCAACCACTTCACTGGGAGGGAATTCCACAGATTCACAACCCTTTGGGTGAAGAAGTTCCTCCTGACCTCAGTCCTACATCTGCTTCCCTTTATTTTGAGGCAATGCTCTCTAGTCCTAGTTTCCCTGCCTCCACCTTATCTATTCCCTTCATAATCTTATATGTTTCTATAAGATTTCCCGTCATTCTTCTGAATTCCAATGAGTATAATCCCAGTCTATTCAGTCTCTCCTCATAATCCAACCCCCATTAGTTTTCGGCATGTTATTTGTGTCTTCCACAGTGAAGACCAACACGAAATAATTGTTTAATGTTTCGGCTATTTCCTCATTCCCAGTTATTAAATTGGCCTTCTCATCCTCTAAAAGACCAATGTTTACCTTCGCCGCTCTTTTACGATTTACATATTTATAGAAACTTTTGCTGCCTGTTTTTATATTCTGAGCTAGTTTACTCTCATAATCTATCTTACTTTTCTTTATAACTTTTTTTGTGTCTTTCTGTTGGCCTTTAAAGATTTCCCAGTCTACTAGTTTCCCACTACTCTTTGCTTTTTTGTATGTGTTTTTTTTCAATCTGATACTTTCCTTTATTTCCTTAGACATCCATGGCTGGCTGTCTCTTTTCCTACAGTTCTTCCTTATCACTGGAATATACTTCTGCTGAACACTGTAAAAAATCGTTTTGAAAGTCCTCCACTGTTCCTCAATTGACCCACCATAAAGTTTTTGCTCCCATTCTACCTTAGCTAACTCCTCCCTCATTCCTTCATAGTCTCCTTTGTTTAAGCACAGGACATAGGTACTGGATTTAACCTTCTCACGCTCCATCTGTATTTTAAATTTGACCATACTGTGATCGCTCCTTCCGAGAGACATGTTGATCTAATCCCTACAGTTTTTTTTGGCCTTTGTTTTTAAGTTTAATAATATAGTGATTATACTGCATATGAAGGGAGGTGGACGTGGAATTATTTCCTTTGAGGACTTCTTTTAAAAATTTTCTCAAGGGCTGCTTTTTGATTTTCGGAGGCTGTGTCTCTGTTCTCACAATTTTTTTTTCAATGAAATGTTGTGTATTGGTATTGCCATATGGGATATTTGGACTCCTATAGAAGCACAATTGGAAACATTCTTCAATATCCTCACTAATTGTCAACCCACCAATAATCATAAAAAGCAGAATCTTTTGGGGCCAGAGTGACATGGACAATGGTGGGAAATGTGGCAGAACCATGTGAGAAGTCCAACTCACTATGTCTTTTTATCTACATTCTGGCGAGATTCTCGCTAGGCAGTGGCCTGTCTCCCATTAAGTGTGATTATTGGTTTTTAACACCCTTATTAAAGGCACATCTAGCCTCATTATTGTGCAACTTTTATTGTACCATCCATTGTAAGCAAACTGGACACAGAATTCTTGACTTTGAAGTCAGTGTGGGTCCCTGGTGTCTTCAGCTTGCTCTGAAGGGCTTCCATGTTTTTAGACATCAGAAACCAGCATCTCAGGGTATGTTCCATGGACATGACCACCCGTGCACCATATCCTGGCACATTGGCATCTGTTATGTGCCAGCTTCTAAGACACCTCATGGCACTTCTCTGATCCACAAACAGTACATTTCTACACTTAAATGTTGTACCTCAGGGTGTACAGTAGCTATCATTGGACCTCAGCAGCAAGGAACATTTGCATTCAGGGGCAGGAACCCAGCTCATGGACTGGGTCAGGCTGCCTCTCTGGCCTGTTCACTCGCTTTCTAACTCACTTTGAACTGACCTGAATGTTCACAGCATCCATGCCTTGCATTTTTCACTTTGCCACTCAGCCAGAGATACCAGGCTGCCAGTGCTGATGTATTGCCGTGCCATTTAGTGCTGACAGTGCTAGGAGGCTTGGCATTGTTTTCAGCAGTCTCCAGTCAAGTCAAGGGAAATAGCATTCAGTCAGGGGTTCCTGGCATGATAAGTAAACTGCAGCCTCTGCTTCCTGTCCAGATCCTTAGACAGGACGTTGGTGAGGCCTCTTCTGGAGTAGTTCTGTGCGCAGTTCTGATCACCCTGATATAGGAAGAGGGTTCAGAAAATATTTACCAGGATGTTGCCAGGAGTTAAGGGTTTGATTTATAAAAATCGGCTGAGACTTCTTTCACTGGAGTGTAGGAGGCTGAAGGTTATAAACCTTATAGAGGTTTATAAAATCATGAGGGTCATAGATAGGGTGACTAGCAAGGGTCTTTTCCCTAGGCTGCGCAAATTCAAAACTTAGGGGCATATTTTTAAGGAGAAATGAGAAAGTTTTTGAAAAAGGACATGAGGGGCAACTATTTTACAGAGAATGGTTTGTGTGTGGAATGAACTGCCAGAGGAAGTGGTGGATGCGTGTACAGTTACAACATTTAAAAGACATTTGGACAGGTATGTGAATAGGAAAGGTTTGGAGAGATATTGGCCAAGTGCACACAAATGGGACTAGTTTAGTTTGGAAACATGTTTGGTGTGGACAAGTTGGACCGAAGAGTCCATACTGTATGTCTCTATGACATGGACATAAGCAATGAGAAGCTAAATGCTGAGTAGCACACCACCCATCCCGACTCTTTCTGCCCTATTTTGGGCTATTTTCCTCCGGAGTTAAAGGGAGAGGCAGGTATCACGGGCGATGAAAGTAGGTGGCATGCTGTTATTTTTGGTGCAGTTGGGGAGGTATTCTGAGTAAATGAATAGGCAGTGCAGAGGGCATGCAGGTTTAGTGATGTCCTGTATTGAGCTGAATGAGGGAAGATGTTGCAGGTAGTAGTGAGATTGGTAGTGCATGGGCCTTGGTGGGAGGTGGGTGCAGTAGCAAAGGTAGTGAGTGAGGTGTCTGAGAGAAGCTTGTGGCATTTAAGCTAGCGGAGTGGAGAAGGTGATTGACCTTATTCCAGTATGGCTCTGCGTTCCACCAGGCACACAAGGCAATCACCCTAAATATGCCATTTGTAGATTGGTGAGTTCACAGCTAATGTGTTTTCATCTCATAAATCAACTACAATCAAGTTTACTGTTGAAGTCTGGGATTTCTGTATTTTGAATGTCAGTAATTGTTTTATTTTCTCTTTTAGATCTGTTTAATCAAAGAACAAAGATTAGTGGCTCCATATAAAATTGAGAGAGTAGGTTGATGATTCTCCCTTATTTTCCTTAACTATTAATCTTTATTAATGAACTATTGAATGCTCTATGCAATAAATTTAGGTCTGTAAAAGACTGCGCAGTTTTAACTTGCCTTGATATATATCATGCCTGCAGCAAATTTCCACTCTATTTGATGTAGTATTTTACTTGTAAAGATCTCTTCACTTATATTTAAGTATGATCTAATCAATAGTTCATCACAATGCCTTTTGAATTAAGTTCAGCAGAGTGTGGATTTTGAAGAAGGGATTTTTATATCTCTTATGTCAAACACCTGCATTAAATGAAAATGCATTGGCCCAACTTTTTTTAAAATAAATGTCCTTATTACTGTAGATTTATCATATTAAAACGTGATTGAGAATGGCTGAATAGCTTAAATTCTATTTGCCTATTATTTGAAAAAGGCATGTTTTTGTGTGTTTGACTTTATTCTTTCAAAATCTTAAGTATGAGCTTTGTTCAGACTGTTGCTTGGGTGTGTTTATAATTTTTGTATTTTTATTAAAGTAAAATTTACGCCTCCATGGCAGGTGGTACTTGAACCTGAATCTTCTGACTCAGAAGCAGGGATTCTGTCACTGTGCCACAAGGGCTCCTGTGTCATATTTTGATTCTTTCCCTTGAGCTCACATTGTGCTGCAGTTGGATGAATTCACAGTTTACCAACACTGGGCCCGTGCTGCAATGATAATCCTGTGAAATATTGAAGGGAATAAAACACATAATTTGGCATAGTGTAGATGAAAGATTGCAATGCAAGCTTTTTTCCAAGATTTTTATATTTTAATTTTCCAACAAAAAAAGGCCAAGGTTACGATGAGTCAAAGCCTGCATTTTTACTTGAGCTACTTTGCTGGGTTAGACAAATTAACTATTAATTTCAGTATATCTGTATTCAAGAAGTAGCCTACTTCTGCTATCCTATTCCTTCTCATATTTAGGGGACAACACATTGTCAGTTCAAAAGGCAAAAGCTTAGATTAGTTGGATTTTGTAACAAATTAAATGCAAAACAATAAAAAGGAATTGGTAATAAAATTATTTCAGAGATAGTAGGAACTGCAGATACTGGAGAATCTGAGATAACAAGGTGTAGAGCTGGATG